GTGCACATCCATGAGAGAAAGTGAGCACCTTTTGTGTGTCCATATGTGTCTGGGTGGCGGAGAACGCGCTGGGCGCCCTGCTGGGAGCACAGATGGTGCCGAGGCCTGCCACTGCAGCACTGACGATGGCCACATTCTCACATGAGACCCCCAGCTTTCTGGATCCCACACCTCCTGTTCAGGCCTGAACCGACCCCCCACTACACACACACACACACACACACACACACACACACACACACACACCACACACACACACACCACACACACACACACACACACACACACACACACACACCAGGCCAGGGTCCAGGCCACTGCCTATTTCATTACCCTGGAAGAAAAGACAGACCACAACACATGGACAAGTTGGCGTTCACACACTTCCCAGAGTGTTCCCCTGTGCGTGAGTGTGTGTCCGAGTGATGTAAGTGATGCAAATGCGAGGAGAGCTACATCGCTGTCAAATTAAGAGTTTCTGATGCTAAACGCTCCGCAACTTCCTTTCTGTGTTTCACCAACTGCATTTTCTCCCCCTTTGTCTTCATTTCTGCACACTTTCATTTTTCTCCTCCGTCTGCTCCTCTCTGTCTTCTCTTTCCGGCCTCTAATTTCCTCTCTCTCCCCTCTCCCTCTCCCAGATGCCCCCTGTGGCTCGCCGTCCACCTGAGAGAAGCCTCATACATCTCCTGACAAAGTGACTAATCCTTCCCATTTCACAGCTCCATCCCACTGCTCCCTGAATGTTCAAAACTGTGTGTACGCGCGTGTGTGTGGCGTGTGTGATAGGTGACAGGTGGGAGTGTGTCACGCAGGTTCAAGGTGTTTTTTGTTGTAACAAGCGGCTCAGACAGCTGCGGGGTCTACTGAGCTCTGACTGATTAGAGAAATAACTCCATTACAGTCGTCTCGTCACTTTGCAACTTTCTGCTGACAGCTTCTTTAAATTGACGTCCACCTACACAGACACAGACACAGACACACGCACACACACACAAAAAAGCATTTTAATGGTCTTTTTGCCGTGGCCTGAAATACAATTTGATCCTTTCCAAAAACTCAGGTTTCATATTTGCATCTTATTTCCGCAGAAACTCTGCAATATTAGGCCTCAGCTGGATCGGTGATATAAGCCCTGCGAAGAATAATCATAACCATAAATCAGTCTACTGCTTCCTGTGTGTCTCCCACCTCTGAATGATTACGGGAACCCCAGTGAGGGGGCATTTTAACCCAGACTAAACTCGTGTTCCTGAGGTGGTCTTTTTAAAGGAATATTTCACCCTAAAATGAATAAATGGAGCCTTTTGATTGTTTTGAGAGGTGTAAAAAGTTGGATCTGTTCATTTCAGTAGCTTGCCAGAACTGAAATGAAACAACCGTGGTTTTCAAATAACCACAGGGGGTCTAAATATTACAATAATGCAATAGTAATGGTCTCTTTAAGCACACTGAGCTGTGCCAAAAGGACCAGCTGTCAATAGATGGGTATACTGTGTGTGTGTTTTGTCTTCTAGGTGCTAGATAATTAAGTTTTCCACAATCTTAAAGGGACAGTTCACCCTCAAATCAAAAACACATATTTTGCCTCTTACCTGTAGTGCTATTTATCAGTCCAAATTGTTTTGGTGTGAGTTGCCGACTATAGAGATGCCTTCTCTCCAATATAATGGAACTAGATGGCACTCAGCTTGTGCGGCTCAAAGCACCAAAAAATACATTTAAAAAACTCAACATCAATGTCTCTTTCCAGAAATCATAACCTGGTTACTTAAGATAATCCACAGACCTTGTTGTGAGCAGTTTCATGTAGGAACTATTTTCTTTCTACTGAACTACACCTGCCAACAGAATCAACATGCAGAAGGAATCATGCATCTACTCATGGACGAGTGGGGGCCATCTGCTTTTCACATCATATGGGTTATTTAAAAAAAATCACATACAAATGAGACAAATGCAACTGTTTCACCTTTCAGTGAAAAAGAATTCAACTTCCCGGCGCTCCTGAAAGTGGCAGTAAAACAAAGCTATGATCTAATGTGAGGTTCAGTGCGCACAAACAAACAGCTTTTACCAGCAACGTCATGACTAAACCAGGCGTCATCCCTCTGACTGAAATGACCATCCTCTGGTGACTACACCACCCTGCAGTTTGCCTCGCTGTCTCCACAGTCAGTACATCAGCTGTGGGATGTAATTGCAGCAGGCACAAACAAAACAGCCTTGGAGGGGTCCTTCATGTCTTTGGCCGAGGGCCTTGCAAACGGAGGAGGGGTCCGGGGCGACGCAGACCACCAAGCATATAGACTATCTCCACTTCTCTGTCTGTAAAGCAATTAGGGTGGTGGGCCGTGTGTGTATGTGTGTGTGTGTCCGTGGGCTCCAGCTGTCAGGAGGCCTCTGTCTCCTCGTCCTGACATGTCTCCGATACACCCTGCTGTGAGTCTCTCTGTGTCACACACACTCCGCGGACCCGGCCGGAGCCCAAGGCTAGCTGTCCGTCATCTCACACACATGTGCACACACGCACATTCTCTCTCTCTCAAGCGCACACACATGCTGAGTTTCCACTGATATGGTCCTTCTGGCACTGTGGTAGTACTTCTCTCTCTCACTCACTGTGTGTGTGTGTATGTGTGTGTGTGTGTGTGTGTGGTGGCAATAAGCATGGCGGTGGCTGCCGGCCACGGCAAGTCATCCGTGCTTCCCCTTATCGTTTTAATCACCTCGTTAGGCGCAGCTAGTCCCCACACTTACTGGCCACTGCCCCTCCTCTGGAACCATGCCCTGATGACCTGATGCTGGTGGTGCCACCAGGCACAGGGATGCATGATGGGAGGAGGGCGAGAAGAGAGAAACTTCCATCAAGTTTCCTTTAAAAAGTGTCACTCTGGCCCTGCAGGGTTGTTTCAGTAAGCCTTACATTAATATAGACTAACATACTATAGCACTGCTAAAAGCAACATGTGAGCGGATCCCACTGGCTAGCTCATCGCCGCTGCTCCGCATTGTGCTCATATAGTGGTTAGCGCTGATATGAGGATAACATCGTCTTGGAAATGTAGTGCCCACCCTCCCTGGTTAGCACAGTTAGCTCAGTCAGCACTGTTGCTGTTGTTTAGTGCTGTTTATGGAGTGAAGAGGTCGAATTATCCAAAAAGCAAAGACCAGTGAAGAGTCCACAGGATGAACATAGGCTCAATTTTTGTATTACAACTTTGCTTTTCTTCTTCTGTCCCCCTCAGATTTATCCCCCTCACCCTTGGACCCTGAAAACCCAATTGCCAGAAGACATGTTGGCAGCGGTAACGAATACACTGAAATATATTTAATATTTCTTTACATTTTAGCAATGTGTAGTTAGGTTTAGGCAAAACAACCACGTGGTCAGGGTTAGGAAAAGATCATGTTGTGGCTAAAAATACCTGGTTTTGGGGGCACAATCTCTGCTGGAGATGCAGCAATGTCTCAATAAAAAGCATCGGCTTCTCATGGCACCATCCCCACTGGAAAAACAGCAACAGGTCACCAAAGGTCACCTAAAAAAGGCACTGGAAACACAGCAATGATTCACTAAAAACAACCAGTTTTGTTGTTTTATGGTCTTGAACGGTGGTCTGCAGCGGCCTGGAGCTTGTCAGGTGGCTTTAGGTGATCTACTATGTGTGGATCAGATTTTCCCTCTCTCTCTCTCTTCTTCTCTTCCCCACTCTCTATTCCTCTCTGTCTCAAATACATTGGTAGTGACATGTCAAGATGAAAGGAGAAAAAAATAAATCAAACATGAAAAAGGTTAGGTTAACATTTCGTTATTTCCTATCTATCTTCCTCTTAACTGTTGCTGTCTTCCCTTGGGGGTAAAATTATTATTCTTAATCTCATCTGTCTTTCAAATGACTCGCAACACTGACATTTGCCCTTGTTAAGTCTTTATCATCAACACTTTTAGCCCAGATTGACTCAAATTGGAATCAAGCAGACCCAGGTGTGTGCCACTGAAGCAAAAGTCTTAGTCCCATGTGCGGTTACAGAAAACTGCACATGTCCAAGTCTGAATTATCAGTAATCAAGGGCGTACTGTGGTTTCAACGCTGAGGGGGCACATGTGACAGGAGGAGGTTTGGGGGCCCTCTGCCAGACAGTTTTGAGCATCAAACACTTAATTTACTGCATTAAATTTGTCAAAATAAAAGTCCTCTACTCCTTGATGTTTCTACACCTATGTCATGGATAATTAAAAACTAGTAGTGACAATTCAAAGGGCATGTCAAGGAGTGAATTCACAATATCACTATGGAAACAAGGAATCAAATATCTTTTATAAAGTTTCTTTTTAATGTTTGACAGCAGACAAAACTATACATCTAAAACACGGATGCTGGCAAAAACATTCTTAAAATAATTTTAAAAAAAGAGATTTTTACTTTTATTATTTTCCAAAAGCCAAAATTACACAAACAGGGAGGCTATGTCTGAATTTTCCATCAGCCTCCCTCACTAAAATGTTGTTAAATCGTCCCCTCCCTAAGGGAAATTGATCCCTTATCTTCTGATCTTATCTTTAATGATAAATGTAGAAAAATAAAGACATGTTAGGATGGACTTAAAGTTAAATATCTCCCTCTCTTTCCTCTCTCAACCTGCACTTAAAAAAAAAACGTTAATTTTTTCTTAATCATAATTGCTCACTGAAAAACCTGCGCACGTGCACGCACTCACAAACGCGGACACGCGTATTTATTTATTTTTCTCCCCATCTTTTATCATGCACACATCTCTGCTTTCCCTTTGCCCACTACTCCCACGGGAGGTTGAGCGCTTGAGGGCTGAGGGGCGTGAAGAGAGAGGGAGGAGGTGTGTGTTTGTGAGTGTGTGTGTGTGTGTGTGTGTGTGTGTGTGTGTGTGTGTGTGTGTGTGTGTGAGGGAGAGAAGAGGAGAGGAGAGAGAGAGAGAGAGGGGGCGGCGTTAGACAATACCATTCCTCAAATATATTCCATCCCCTCCGTCCCTGAAGTGAGCCTTTATTAGTCGGGATCGTTTGGATCTTATCTCGCATATGACACTCGGTGGAAGAAAGACTGGAGGAAAAAGGAGAGAGGGGATTATCTGTGAGCTGCCTTCCGATCCGCTCCATCCTGACACGGGAGAGCCTCGCTTATCTCGCCCCTTTATCCCCATCTTCCACAGGCGCATGGACCAGTAGCCCCGGCTGCACTTTCTCCACTATCTGCCCATCTCTTCTATTGTCTCTCCATCGCTGGGATCACACGGGGGGGCTGACTGATCCCTACTCACATCATCATTATCTTTATTTTCTTTCATCTTTTTCTGATCTAATCATCTGTAAGACTTCGGAACTGTTCTGATGTGCAGAAACATTCCCCCTGCTTGACGTTTGATCCCTGCGTGATTCCCATGCTGCAAGTTTCAACCTGAAAAAAGTCAAATTAGTTTCTTTATTTATTTCTTTTCCGTGAAAAGGTGCATCTCTTGAACATCTGATGGTTGTGACTGTGGAATATGAGTTAATTTGGAGTTGAGGCTCCGCTCCTGAGCGTTTTTAAGTTCCTCTCCAGAAGATTTTGCCTCCCAACTCTTTGTCAAGGTGAGTCTCCAATTTAGAAATAAAAAAATCTACACACATGCACATGCACATGTTTTAAAATGTTTGCGCCTCCATCAGCTGTTTTTTCTTTACTTTCCTCGTTTTATAAAAGCACAATAGCTCCAATGGTTTCATGTCCAGCAGATGTCAACATTATTTTTGCCGTCTTCTGCCTCCATGCTGTCAAGTCACTGTGGCCTCAGCCAAGCAGATGTGTTCATCACACTGTGACAGATGGCCAATTCTGATTATGGTAATTCACTAAAAAAAGGGAGTTTCTCCTTCTAAAACTTGCATAATTCTTTTCTTTTTTAAGGATTATCAAATAATAAATAATTATGTGCAACAAACAATTTGAAAACGTGATGTTTTCCTTAATTGCTCGGCTCTTTTTTAGGCTTTAATAAATTAAAAAAACGCCATTTTTTTCCCCGAGGCATTCATTATTTATTGAGTTTAATGTTATTATGCAACGAATGTAGTCTGCGTTTGGATTTATGGGGGGCCCTGGCACCCAGACGGGCACCCGCTGTGGGGTCTGTCATGCTGGGGCCTCGGGGTGGCAGAAAACAGTAAAAACGATGAAATTAAATTTATATTTTTTATTATTTTTGTGTGTTTTTTGTGAGTTTCGATCCTGAACAGAAGACACTTAGTATTTAAAAATATTTCTAATAGTAATTCAGGTGCAGATTTATCTGAAATTGGGATGAAATCAGTGTTTTAATAGTTGCTTGTGTCCACAGTACAGGTTCCTAAGGAGGAGAGAGGGCCAACACCGGAGAATAAAAATGATGCTGAGCCCGGACCAGGCTGAGGCGGACCTCTCCTGGACTCAGTCCGACCCGGAGACGATGCTCAACGGCCTCAAGTCGGCCGGCTGCACCTCAGACGAGCCGGCGGAGGGTGAGGAGAGGGCCAAATGCAAAGCCGACCAGCCCCTGAGCAGGGAGGAGAAGAGGAGGAGGCGGAGGGCCACGGCCAAGTACCGCTCGGCCCACGCCACCAGAGAGAGGATCCGGGTGGAGGCGTTCAACGTGGCCTTCGCGGAGCTGAGGAAATTACTGCCCACCTTGCCCCCGGACAAGAAACTCTCCAAGATCGAGATCCTCAGACTGGCTATATGCTACATCTCCTATCTCAATCACGTGTTGGATGTTTAAAAGTGAGAGAGACAGAGGTGCTTTGGTTTGGGTTGACTGGACTCAGGCGCGTGCTGGGCGTCAATTGGGTATGGCAAGGTTGGCAGATAGGGTCGACTGATAATGGAGGGGTTTAAAGCAGATATTTTTATAGCCTTTCACAGCTGATATTGAAATATGTCAATTGCAAGGTGAAAAAAAATGAGTCAGGAACTTTTTCTGCCACATAAGACAAGTTAGAAATTAAAAAAAGGCTGACTGGACATTTAATTTATGATATATAGCCTTGTTCATGCATGATTTTAATAAACTTGCAAATAAAAAATGACAATATCAGCTTAGATATCGGTCTAACACACGTGTCATGATCAAATCTTTACAGTTTTAATTTCTAATAAAATCATCTGATTAAAAAAAAAGGGCCAAAAAAATGAAACACTTTCTCCTACCAAAATAAAAGCATCTCGTCCCGGATGCTGGGGCTTTGCCATACCTTCCAGCTGACTGAGTTGACCCCCAGTGTGAGTCCAGTGTTGGTTATCCTGATGGCGGTGATGGTGTAAAGTTGTAGGGGAAAACTGCTCCGAGTGAAAGCCTCAACTTTGAGTCCAGACCGCTCACTGAACAAAAGCAACAAGCGCAGAGTCGTTTGAGCTGTTAGATGCAATAATGAGAATAATTATTATTATTATTATTATTATTATTATTATGCGACGTACAGTGGGGGAGGATGGGCTGCCTGCAAGAGCCCCGCAGGCATCCATGTTCCCCTCCCAGAGGAGATGCAGGGGAGAGAAACATGTGGAGGGTTATCATCAAGAATTTGGATTTCAGGGAAACTTTAAAAAATCACCCCAATAAATGAAATATTCAAAACGACCTCCTCCCCTCGCTGTGTCAATTTGAGGTCTAATAAAACAAACACTGGGGTATTTCCACATCGAAATGAAAGGATGTAAACGATAGCTGCTTTAGATCTAGTTTAGACGATGTTTTCCGTAAAGGAAGGAAAAAAAATGCGTAAGTGCCACTTATGACATATAAAATTGTGACCTTAATCATTTTTTAAAAGTGTATGGAATTATTTATTTAATTGTGTTAATATTTAAGGCTTATTTATTTATGTTGATATCATAGGCTGGCGTCTTTTTGTATAAATGTATATTGTTTGTTGCTTCTATATTTTAGGCTGTGAAACTTGGAAAGTGATGGTGTTCTACTCTTAAAAAAATGGCACTTTCTGTTAATCCATAGCATAAGTTATTTGTTTGATGTATGTTTGATGTATGTCATTATCATTTTGTTTTTAATGTCACGTCTGTTGCCTATCAATAGCAACGATAAGCACTTCAAAATGGGGCTCAGTGGCCCCATAAATGTTTATTTCCCTAAATTGTTGTGTTCAGAGGTTGCTCGAATAGAATAAGAATTTGGGCTGCTTAAGAAATTTGCATTAAATTTAAGAAGAAAAAAAAATGTGGAGAATAATTATGACAAACAGTTTCTACCACCAAGGGGGTTATCATTCAGATGCAACCCTCTTTTTTTGCTGTTACCAAAAAAAAAAAATAATTTCGAAAAATAGCCTGAATCTATTCTCTTCAATGTTTTGATGTTATATTTTGGTTTATTTATTTGTCTCTGCTTTGTATGACGAAATTCAATAAGTAATTTTATAGTGAAGAAAAAAAAACATATCCTCTATCCAAAGATTTTTTGTCTCTTCAGGGTTGTGTAGGCTACTTGTTGCTTTATGCAGATCTTTTGTAGTAGAGGTGTCGTGTGACAGCTGGTTTCTAATGGACAAACTTTTCATATTTTCCGGTGTTATTTTTAATTAAAACCGAAATACTTGAAAAAAAAATCCTTTTCTTGTTTTCTAAATATTTTGAAAAGAAAATCACGTGTGTGTTTGTCGGAGAAAATGTAGGAGAGAAAAAATGAGCCAACAGCTAGAAGCGACAGCTGCTAATATTCAGCTGATTGGAATGATGGATACGGCACAGGATGACGTCAGGCTCACGTTGACGCGCGCGCACATGCACACACGGAGAGCGCTATAAGTGCTCATGCAAATTAGCAGTCACACACATTTAGCCCACTGTACACACACACACACACACACACACACATACACACACACACACACACACAATGCAAGGTGAAATAAGTGCAAACCCAGTTTAGCATACAGATGAAAATACTGTACACACACACACACACACACACACACACACACACACACACACACACACACACACACTCATGTTTAGCCTACTGTACAGACACACTTACACAATGCAAGATAAAATAAGTGCAAACCCATACAGAAAACTCACCCTGCACACACACATTTTCTCTCCATCTCTCTCCCACACACACACACACACACACACACACACACACAGTGGTCAGCAGCTAAAGGCAGTGGTAGCCTACATGTGTGCTCCTGGCTGAAAGGCTCTCTCCCTCCCCAGAGAGGGGGCAGGTGTTACTCCAGACGAGCCAAGACAACCAAATTACTGGCCGTCTGGCACCTCCCGTGGGAAACCCGGGGAGAGAGGAGGGATGGGAGAGATGGAAATTTATGAGCAAGCGAGCGCCGAGATGTAATATTGCCAAATGGTATGAACAAAAAGATCCAAATATTTATATTCATTTGTGATATATACGCCCGGTCCCATCGATTGCGCTATAAAAAGCTTGTAGTCGAGTTACAGAACAGGAGATGTGGAGGGTGTGTGGATGCTTTTATCCAAGACACATTAGATTATCATGAGTGAAGCTTTTCTGTTTTTACACGAGCACAGGGGGGCCCCAGTGGGAATCGAACCCTTCACCCTGGAAATGCCAGTTAAGCTGCTGCAATTGACGGCAAAATGCAAAATGCATTATGGCAAATATGTACCATTAGAAACATTAAAGTCTATCTATCTATCTATCTATCTATCTATCTATCTATCTATCTATCTATCTATCTATGTGTCTGTCCTCAGGTGGCAGCTGCAGTGAGGTTTTAGTGAGCCACGTTTCTCGTTTCAAATCTTTTTATCTGAAGACTGAAGGTAGCATGAAATGTTCTTTCCCTTTCAGCTCAAGGGCCTCCTGTGCGTCTGGTTTTTCTATTTGGCATCTGTCAGTTTGTCAGTCATCTGCCTGACTGTCTTGTTTTTACCTTCAGCTGCACCCACACGGGCTGAGAAAGTTTGTATGGTGACAAGGCTGCTATTACATGTCAGGCTGACAATTCGGAGACGAACTTCACAAAGCTGCTACCAAAACAGATACAAATGTACCTTAAAGAGACACAAAACCACAAAAAGATGCAGAACGACTACAAAGAGATGCAATAAACAACAAGAAAACGAAGCGAAGACACCACAAAGTCTGCGCGTCTTGCTCTTATGTAGAAGAGGTGGTGGGGCCTTTTGCATATCTGAGCCCAGGGGCCTATTGTTTCATTATTTGCCCATGGTTTCAGTTTATCGTTTAGCTGTCCAGTCCAACTTCACTGTTTTGGTTCACTCTCACTCTCAAAAAGGTCCAAAGACCAGTTGACAGACACAGTCAGCGACCAGCTAGTGACCATGGCGGAGCATTTAGCGGCTAAAGACACAGATGTTTCCCTCGGGAGTCGGTAGAGACCAAAAACACAATGAAATGGCGAGAAACACGGCCTAAAAATGAATGCCAATATTGCTCTGTAACTGCTGGGTGTGTAAATAAGCAACTGTTTCCCAATAAGTTCGTCATAGTAGCTGAAAAGTTCGGGGCTGGTTTAAAACAACTGACTGTAAAGAGATGCAGCAAAATACACTGTCCCATCATCCTGTTACAGCGACGCCAAACTGGCCACTGTTCGGCAAATTTCTGCTTCAGGTCATTCAAACCAATTTCAGCCGCTGGACCTTTTTGTATTCGTCCAAAGCAGCCAATACACCAACTGTAGAGACATTAGCTGTAAGCTAGCTAACAACCAGTGCCAGACCTAGCACAGTTGGCAACCTGGATCATATTTTTCTTACATTGGGGGGGTTGACGCTTAGAGAAGCCACCTATGTTGCTACAGGATGATCCACCACGGCCAATTCCCGTCACTTTGCACCCACTTGCATCTTTTCACTGACTTATGCGCAGTCACGCCATCTCTAAAATTTGCTTCCTGCTCTGTCTGAACACACGCAAAAAGTAAAAATATGTCACAATAGCAGACGGCCATCCCACAAGTCAAAAAATAAAGGTGGCACATTTAACTGATACTGGCTCTGTCAGCACTTTGCATCATCTAAGAAACACTAATTGCCTACATTTCAGTGTTTGACAGTCATTTGATTTTCATGAGAACATTTGTTGTACATCGTTCAAACCTGACTAGTCCAGTATTACAGGCCGCTCTGTCAATGCTTTTTACAAAAACACACAAACAAAAAAAAAAAAAGGAGAAAAGAACCCCAATATGTTGCATCAACAGATTGTCCTCTTCAGAACACAAAACAAGCTCTGCGATTCTGGCATGGCGAGGAGATAGACTTCTGCTCAAGCTTATTGAATGGAGGGGTCCATCTGTACGTCGTCGTGAAGCACCACGAGGCCATTTGTGCTCCTCATCCCAAAAGCTTCCGTAGCATCAGTCCTCTTCAATTTATTCTTTACAAACCCCCAGAAGGGGCAGGGGAGAGAAAAGTGACAGGCGAAGCCCAAACTGCTGAGGGCACTGAACAGCCTGGCTGACAGTGTGGCCGGTGCATGCTTGTGTGTGTGTGTGTGTGTGTGTGAGAAAGTACCACGTTTCACCACAACCCCCCACCCTCTTTGCACTGTGGGCTTATGTAATGGTGGAGGCCGAGGAGTGACCATATGTCAGGAGGTGTGTGCAGACAGCAGGGGATTATACAGCGGCCATTATCGGCGTTAGGACATCCTTCTCCTCATCGTCATTCAGGTACACTCAAAGCCAGCAGCACACACACACACACACACACACACACACACTCACACACACACACAGTGCTCTACACACACCCATTTAATTCTAAGAGCTCACTAGCTCTGTGTAAATTGGACAGGGAGAAAGAGTATGACAACAAACAGCCATATGTTCACAGTACGAGGAACAACATTTGGGGCTTTTGGTGCTGCCTCATTTTTTCGCCCTCTCTTTTATTCTCCACGTCGTTGGGTATTATGGAAGTGTTCATGTTCAAGGCGAGAACTCCCCCGTCAATATTGCAGCTCTGCCCCCCCACTCTTTCCCCTTGCCTCACTCATAGAGGTGTGTGCTTGTGAGAGTGTGTGAAGCGTGCACATCCCTGTGTGTGTGTGTTTGAAGGGTGCTCGTGCAGCAGAAGTACAAAGCCTGGTCCATGTGTTGAAATGCAGCCCCCGGGATGGGCCGTATTATCCCTGCCTACTTCACCAGCAGGGTCCCGGGGCTCGAGCTGGCTCGTGGCCCTTTGTCTCCAAACAGATGGAAATGGGCAGAGGAGAGGAGAAGTGGAGAATCAGAGAGAGGGGAGGAGGAGGGGGGAGGAATAGAATGGACGGAGGAAGGAGAAGGGGAGGGGAGGGGAGGGAGAAAGAGTCAGTCTGTTCTCATTAAGTGCTGTATTGAAGACGACGTCCCCCCACAATGCGTCAGCAGCCGTGGATGGTCCCCCTCTCATTCAGACTCACGCTCTGACCATCTGTACCGCCGGCCTGTCATAAGGTGTGTGTGCATGCATTAGGCCCCGGCACACGGCCCAATCTGGCGAGTTAAAACGGTGATATTCATTGGATTTCAATTTGGTTAAGATCTTTTAAATCCAATTGTTGGGCTTTTGTTGTGGACACCTCATTGGTTGTGAGTCACTGTGAGTCAGGAGGGGAGTTTATTCAACATCCTGCTGTCCCTTTTTTGAGTCTCAGAGGACACACACATACAGGAAGATGCAGATTTATAATTACTGCATCATAAAGACATTATCTCAACTTTAATCCTCTGTTATTATGACTGAAAGATGAATTATTTGCTCATCGCTGCCCTGTCTTGAACTTAATTCATCAAAACATTTTAGCATTCCTGGTTTTATCAGTATTGCAGAACAGAATGGTCACAACGGTGTAGATTTGGTTTCAAAATTGAGGGGGGAAATGAAATATAGGGTTTGGGGGGTCCTCCGCCAGAAAATTCTGAGCATCAAACTGCATTGGTGAATTTCTATGCACCAATTTGTGCCGTTTCTGCGTCAGTTTATGGGGTAAATGTCTCTAATGCTGTCACAATAAAAGTCCTCCTAAATCTGCACCTATCTGGTCGTATTAGGGCTGCAATATTGTCAGCAAAAAGTGAAAAATGCACATTTCCACAGCCCATGATAATGTCTTAAAATGTCTTGTTTTGGTTGGCAAACAGTCCCAGCCCCAAGGAGATCCAGCTCACTATGGAAAGACAAAGAAAACCAGAAAATATTCACATTTTACAAGGTGGAATCAGTGAATTTTGCTTGCAAACATACTTAAATTGTATATAGATCATCAAAAATAGATGCTGATTTATCATCAAAGAAGAACGGCTTTCATATCTTAACACTTCAAGTGCACTTTTCATATTTGATTCTTCTTGTCTCCTCACATTATTTGCAGCTTTTACTCAACCTGCTGTGCGGCCCTCTGGGCAAAATTACCTGTGTTCAGTATGAGTTTATTTTAGCTTTATGGCCCTTATCATTCGGGTTATATTGTTATAATAGTGGTGCATTTTTCTGCAAAAAAAATTACCAGTTAAACGAAAGGTATTGTCACAATTAGTCATCCTGAGGCCTTTAGGGCCCCTGGGGGTCTGGGGCCCTGAGTCATTTTTCTCATTTTGGTCCAGCC